GTTGTAACCATCGTTGGCGTCTTTCCACATCTGTAACTGCTTCTAATGACGCTTCATATTCATAAGGGACACCTGGTGTTCATTCGGTCGGCCGATAATCCCTTAGCTAACTGATTAAACTTCGACTGATAGAATGGTCTTCAATCAAATGTTGTTTTTTATAGATAGATGCTGGCTGAAATAGCATTGCCTGGTAACGTGGTGTTGGCTCAGTCTGTTGGTATCCTTTGATCAGTTTCATGGTTCCAACGATTTCGTGATGAATGACCGAACATGAACCTTTCTTACCTGATTTTCGTGTCATCTCAAGATTTGCACAGGCATATTTTCGATATACATAAATTAATTTCTTTTTGGTCGCTCTATTAATTGATGAGAATTATGAACGAACAGTATTTTTTGTTGTTGTTGTTTTATTTGAAGAAATGACTAATTGATTAAAGAACAAACATGAACTAACATTATTCACACGTCATTTTATTTCTAAACTTGTTTACAAATATGGACTGAATCAGATTTCAGCTTAAAATTAGTTTAATATGAGTTACTTATTTCCCATCGAACCATGAAGAACCACAGTCCCATGCAAACTTGAAAATATCCATTGTTAATAGAAGGAAAAAAAAATCTGAATTTTCAGTCAATGCTGAAGAGATTCCAATGTATCTTTGCATGTAATTAATATATGAAATAAGTATGGCCACATGACAATCTCTCTGTATCAAAACTAAGCCAAAAGCGTGGGTTAATTTGAAAATTCATTAAAAAATAAAAATATTAAAGAAAATAATTTGAAAAATCTTATTGATAATTATTGACATGAAATGAATTCGGATATCTAGTAGGAATTCTTTTTCAGTTCTTTGGCAACTTTTGACAAGCATGTAAAGACCTTATAAGATCGATGGAATTATTCAACCAGGACGCTAAAAAAACAGTTGGAAGCTATAAGAATCTCAAATTATTATTTAATTGAACTAGGATATTAGTATAAATAAGGTCAAGATTTATTATAAGAATTAATAGTATAAGTAGTTGTCATATGATAACTTAATATGATAATAATATAATTCTAATAACTTCATGCATCCAGAGTTTGCCAATCCAAAAAAAAGAGAGGAATTGCATGCATACCAAACAAATCTTATGTCTGATACTCAAACTTCAGTTTATACATGAATATTGCTTGTAGGAGATCTTAATCTATGTAATCTATGAATATTATGTTGGTTCCAATTTACTGGATCGCTAAAGGACAAATCGAAAAATGAGATTGGACTTTTGGGAATTCTCTTTTTATTATTTTGAAGGAGTGAAAAAATACAAGTCTAGGTGTTTTACAATGCAACACAACACCTAATTTTATACTAACTAAGACATACCGAAACAAAACAGGAAACGTACATAATAAAGGCAAGAAAATTAAGTGTCATCAATTCGCGCCTATTTGAATTGATTACACATATTTGAATTTTGAATTTGAATTTAAGATTCAAATTCAAAATTAATGATATTGCCATATCTCATATATTTAATTCAAAATTAATGCTATGATCATATCTTCTATATTTGTTCCACTAATTAACTCATGCCTATTATGAAGCCACTAATTATGCAATCAATTCAAATTATCAATTCAAGATTAGTCTCACATCAATAAGGGAGTTCTGAAGACTAGTTTCCAAAGGAAGTTCCCTCCTTACAGTACTTCCATGAATCTGCCTTCCATATCGCAACCATCCGGTATTTGCGCAAGCAGGCAGAACACTTAAAAAAGAGACAAGGTTATGATCATAAATACATAATTGCATTGAGCGAAATAAGTTTATAGCTTCCATGAACGCTCCGCACTTGCAGAGGCCGGATATTATAGCGTTCCATGATATGAAATCTTTTTTAGGCATGAAATAAAAGAGAGATCTTGCACTTTCCAAATCATTCAGATGAAGATCGAAGCTAATGAGGGAAGTGGCAACAGAAGTTTCCAAGTTCAGAGCAGATTTGATAGCAATGGTATGAATCCCACATCTGTTATCATCCGAAACCTCGCTATTAATAGCGCGGATAATTTGAGAAATTTTGCTTGAATAGTTGGAATCTACCATTGAGGTGAAAAACATGCGTTTAGCAATAGCAGTAAAAGAAACTCCTTTGAGCGACTTTGTCGAACTGTTGGAACGCAGCTTCAAAAATATGGTTTTTTTGGGCAGAGCCCTCATGTCGTAGAACAGCAGAGCTAAGAACTGATCTGCCCTAGTTGATTAAGTTACTAAACTGATTAAGAAGATGGAAGCGAACAATGGAGGCCAGCAGTTACAATGGAGAAGAAAAACTTGACGGATGTGAAGAAATAATTTTAAACAAATGAAAATTTCATGGCTGGGGATTTTGAGGACTTAGATTCTTTACTCGGGTCGGATCCACCGGAAAATGGGTTAATTCTTCGTACGGCTTTCGTGCGGCAGATAGCTCAGAGATTTGTACGTTTTGCTTTAGTAAGACTGGTTTGAACTCAGATCAGCTGTAATTTTTCTTCTTCTTCCGGTTTGTTCGGCCTTCGACCTGGGCTTAGATCACTATATTTAATCAAATAAGTGGGTCTCTTCGTCTTTTATTGGCGGTCGCTTCTTTTTCTGCACTTCATCTCGTCTCGAGTTTGGATTATTGGATCTCCTCTCTGCGTGACACTTTTTTATGTGCAACCATGAAAATTTTTAATGCAAATACTTAAATATATATTTTTGAGCAAATAATTTTTTTAGGGGATATCAAAGTTATTATTTTTTGTGCAATTTGAAATGAATATTGGAGAGTCATCTTATACTATAAAGTTTAGGGTTAGAATATTTTCTTAACTTATAAAAATTTTAAAAATTTCACCACTAAATTCAATGATATAATAGAAAGACACATGCTACGGCTACAGTTTTACGTTAGGACAAAAATAGACTTTTAATATGTAGTGCAACTTTATGGATATATATGTTTCTTTTTGTTTACTTGGTCATAAAAGTTGAGATATTATCCCAATTTCTCTCTTCCAAGACAAGTATTGTATCACTAACAACTTAGATCCTCTATCTTTTATAAATCTTTGCAGTGGGCCCTC